CTTCACTTCTTCAAAATAGACTCGCCCAGGCCGTGGTATTTTGTGGAAGAGCCACACTCAAGGGGCCAAAGAGCCGCCTGTGGCTCGAGAGCCACAGTTTGCCGACCCCGGATCTAGTCTATGATTTAAAATTTTAAAAAATATATTTTTTATTGATTTCTAACCATTAAGCACACCAGCCAGGGCTCCTGCCTTGTTTTCTTTAGGTTTTGCATTAGTTTTTCTATGTTTCCCCTTCAATGCTTGGTTAGTGTTTGCAGACTGCCCTTAAGGGTACGGCTATTACTTTGCCTTCAGCTGTGACCCTGCCCCAGGGGGTCTGACATACAATATCCTCATTATTGTAATTTCCTAGATCAACTGCTGTTCCAGTTCGATTTCCCCGTTGAAACAAGAAAAAAGAAAAAACAGAGGCTGCTTTTCATTTCCGATGGGTTGGGTATTGGTGTTTTTTGTTTGCTTCCACTTTATTATGTTCGTTTCCCTGTTGCCTCAGACGGCGGGTTCCGTTCCGGCTCCCGGAGGTCACTGGGGTTGCCTCTGGGGTCTGATATGTTAGAAAGCGGTGCACGGCCTCTCTGTTCCTGAAAAGCCTGTGTCCTGTGTTTTCTCTTCCCTTTCATTAAAAAAATATATATAGCCAAGACCAGTTTGGCTCAGTGGTAGAGCGTCGGCTTGGGCACTGAAGGGTCCTGGGTTCGATTCCGGTCAAGGGCATGTACTTTGGCTGCGGGCACATCCCCAGTAGGGGGTGTGCAAGAGGCAGCTGTCGATGTCTCTCTCTCATCGATGTTTCTAACTCTCTATCTCTCTTTCTTCCTCTCTGTACAAAATCAATAAAATATATTTAAAAAAATATATATATATATATTTTATTGATTTTTCACAGAGAGGAAGAGAGAGGGATAGAGAGGTAGGCCCGGTGCATGGAAATCCCTGCAAGAGTAGGCCTTCCTTCTCCTGGCTGCCAGCACCGGCTTCCCTCCAGCACCCGGGACCCGGGCTTCCCTCCTTCCGCCACCCGCAGGCACCCGGGACCCCGGCTGGCTTCCCCCAGGCCTCAGCTTAGTCAGGAAGGTCATCCGACCTAATTAGCATATTACCCTTTTATTATAGAGAGAGTATACTAGAACACTAATACTCTTGGACAACCCATTCCCTAGTTTTATTGCCTGTTCTGGAGTATTATGCTACTTTATGTCTTGTCAATGAAAAATAATCAGACAGTTCCCTTTTCTCTAGCAATTGCAACAGTTACCTTATTGTAATTAGAATTTCTGCATTAATTGGATATAATTTATATTTAATAGATTGAATACTCAATGCTGATTTTTCATCCTATAATTTCATGAATTCTGATTATTTTAATTTAATCTCAAATTATATCTCCAAGTAGCTTTCTTTCCCCCCAATTTTTTTGAGGTACAACTGCAGTACACTTAACTGTATATATAATGTGTACAATTGATCCATTTGTGTGTACCCACAGACACACACACACACACACACACACACACACAGCTGTGAAAGCATCACTGTGACGGAGATCATGAGCATTTCCACTGGAGGAAAAGCAACGGCCAATAAGGAGCACAGACCACCGAGGACCCAGTGCACACCCACTGCTGTTCTACTGCAAAGTATTACAGAGCAGACTGAACAGCTGTGAAAAGGCATAAAAGGCCAGAACTTCCCGAAATGAAGGAGGACATAAATGTATACATCAAGGAGTCCTTCATTAGTTAAACAAATACTTTTTCATTGATTTTTTTGGTCCCACCCACTTACACACTCATTGGCTGCTGCTTGTATGTGCCCTGACTGGGAACAGAAGCCGCCACGTTGGGGTATTGGGGTGATGCTCCAGCCCACAGAGCTGCCCGGCCAGGGCAGAGGCCTTCATTATTTAGGACAAAACAAGACAAAACAAAAAACAACAATAAAGTCTGAGTGAAATGATTGACAGCCAAGGTTACTGGGAATATGGTAGAAATAAAGCTATCTACTAAAGAAAAATTGGTCTAGCATTGGATTTCTCCTTAGCGATTTTATTTCATTTATTTTTTTAAATCCTCACCCAGGGATATGTTCCCATATATATTTAGAAAGAGAGGAGGACAGAAAGGTTCATGGGAGAGTGAAGGTACAGCTTCCTGGGGAAGAAGTGCAGGCATGGGAGTGAGTGTGACTGGGACAGGAGGGTTTACAATCCAGGGTGGGGAAACAGTTTTGAGGGTGACATAAGGAAAACAAATCCAATACCCGTTGTAAGTGTCTGTCAGGATAAGTGATCATAGACTGAATAGAGCTGTGAGATTACCAAGTCAAGAGGGGCCTTTACCAGCACCCAGTCGCCCCGTGCCCCTCCCAGTCACCCACACAATGGCACCGTGTGCACCCTGCTTCCTGGAAGCAGTGGTTGTGGTTGCCTTGCCTCTCTGTCAGCACTTGATGTTGTCAGTCCTTCATTTTAGCCGTCTTAGTGTGCCTGGGTCAGTGTCTCAGTCAGCACCAGATTCGAGTTTATTTAATCTTTTTGGTTAATCTCCACCTGAGGATATTTCCCCATTGATTTTGAGAGAGAGAGTGGGAGGGAGGCGGAGTGACCGAGAGAAACATCGATGTGAGAGAGACACATGGATTGGTTGCTTCCATGTGCCTCCTTACCAGGGCTGGGGTGTGGCCTGCAATCACGGTACGTAACCTTGACTGGAATCTTACCCGGATCCCTCCAGTCCAACGGCTGATGCTCTATCCAGTGAGCACCACCTGCGAGGGCACCAGATTCGACTTTGGAGGAACGAAGCTGTCGATGTTCTTCTGCCTGGGCATTAGGGAGAGGCTCCGACGTGAACGCTGACTTTTCCAGCAGAAGCGTCTGCGGAGTGAGGGTTGGAAAGGAGGTGACCCCTCCCTCCAAGGGCCATCTGAGGAGAGGGCTGGGACCCCAGGTGTGGCACTGTGCTCCCACCTCCACACCTCTTCTTCACTGTCCTGGGGCCGGCCGCCTGCTGCCTCCCGTCCGTCCGTCCGTCCGTCCATCCGTCTGTGCTCAGCAAGGTCCCAGGTGTGCTCCGACCGAGGCAGGCTCCAGCTTCCCCAGACACCTGTGCCAGCCACTGGACCCAATCCCTGCTGTTCCAAACCCTGCTCTTTCCTGGCCGTGAGGCCCGCCCTCTCAGGTTGGTTATGCTGGACGGGAAACGCCGGCAGATGCTTTATTTTGGAAAAAGGCCTGGGGTGACGGTCGGGAGCCCAGACCTCTGGGGGGGCTGGAGGCGGCGGCAGCAGCTGCTCCAGCGGGAACAGAGCGGGAGGGCTGCCGGGAGGGCAGAGAGCTCCCGCTGTCAGTCACCTGCCCACAGGCTGGAGGTGGGGCTGGGAGAGGGGAATGGAAGTGTGTGCTGTGCTGGACTCTCAGAGCGAGAGGGGTGAGGGGGACACGGTGACCTGCCCCCGGGGGCTGGGCCCCCCCAGATTTATGGGGCGACCTCACGGGCCTTCTCCTGGGCAGGAAACGGGTTGCTTGCTAATGCTTTCCCTCCCCACACACCTGCAAAAGCAAGTCGGTGCATTTTACAATAATTTTATACTAGAATAAAATGTCGCTGTTTTCCGTTGGATAGCTGCCCAGTAATCGGCTTTGTGCTTTTTGAATCAAGAAATGGCTTCAAATATATAGGACCTCAGATTTCAGTCTCTCTGTCTCTGTCTCTCTCTCACACACACACAGTCACACAGTCACACACACACACACACACTCACATGCACACACACGCGGTCACACACTCAGCTCTCCTCTAAGGTGAGCGGTGAGGAAACAGGAAATGTGGGGCATGGCCGGCTCTTTTACATCCTGGAATCGTAGTTAAGGGGACTTACTGTCATTCCCCGGGGCTTCCTCTGTTGTCCCCCTCCCCGTTCTCCCCACCCCCCACCCCCCCGTGGCCGCATGCACAGAGAGCACTGCTGGTCTGGTCACATTTGCCCGAAGCTGGTGTTTCCTGCAGAAGAAATGACCCTGGTTGCCCTGACCTTGGCCTTGGTTCTGCAGGCCCTCCAGGCCCTCGCCGCCTCTGGACGCACAGTGACCGGAGGCACCTGGCGGACACCCACCCCGGCCCGGCCTTCAGGGAGCTGCTCGGAGACTCCCGCTCCCTCCCCACTGGCAGCCCAGCAGCTCCCGCAGGCTGTCACTGCATCAGACCGGAGGGAGGCGCCTCTGGTCCATGATGGGCCCAGGCTCTCCGTCTTCAGGGAGGAGCTGAGCTCTCCTGGGGCAAAGCTGCAGAGCACACACATGCCCCTCAGGGCACATCATGGGTGTGTGCATGAAAGAGAGAGAGTGTGTGCACGTGTGTGTGCATGAGCGAGTGCATGTGTGTGCGTGCAGGAGTGAGAGTGTGCGTGTGCATGACAGTGTGCATGTCTGCTTTCCTCTTGGAAACAGACGCGGAGACTACGTTTCCGGAACAACCAGTCCACAGGTTTATTCCTGCCTGCAAACCGGTCCACAGACCGGCCCTCCCCCATAAGCACGTGTCCCACGCACAGCGCCTGCGGGCTCTCCTTGTCTTTGGTATCAGAGCTCCCCCCCGCTCCCTCCCCCCATCCCCGCCCAGCACGTCCAGGCAGTCCTTCGGCACAGAGCAGCCCGACGCACACTCAGTGCCGGGGCCTGGGTGCCGGGGCCTGGGTGCCGGATCCTGGGTGCCGGGGCCTGGGTGCCAGGGCCTGGGTGCTGGGGCCTGGGTGCCAGGATCCTGGGTGCCGGGGTCTGGGTGTCCGGGCCTGCGTGCCAGGATCCTGGGTGCCGGGGCCTGGGTGCCGGGATCCTGGGTGCCGGATCCTGGGTGCCGGATCCTGGGTGCCAGGATCCTGGGTGCCGGGGCCTGGGTGCCGGGGCCTGGGTGCCGGATCCTGGGTGCCGGGGCCTGGGTGCCAGGGCCTGGGTGCCAGGGTGGGTGCCTGCCCCCCGGCTCAGGGAGGCCAGGCCCGGCTCACACGTAGTCGTTGAGCCGGTACCCGCTGTGCGAGGCGGAGGTGACCGAGGGCGCCCGGTTGTCCTTGTAGGCGGCGGGCGGCCGGTAGGAGGGCGCGGTGGCGGTGGCCGTGGCCGTGGCGGCCCGGGGCGGGGCGGGGTAGGGCCGGGAGGGCGCCTCGTCCAGGCAGGACAGGCAGAGCAGCGTGCCGCCGATGAGCGCCAGGGAGGAGGAGATGAAGCCGAGGTACAGGGCCTGCCCGATCTCGAACTTCATGCTGCTGGGCAGCAGCGGGTTGTAGAAGCTCTGCACCACGTCGTGCGTGGTCCAGGCCACGGCCACCATGCAGAGCAGGCCGGCCAGCAGGAAGAGCGCCCCGCCCAGCACGGCGCACGTGGCCTTGGCCGGCGTGCCCTTGGCGCAGCGCGTGCACTGGAGGCCCACGACGGCGCAGGCGCAGGCCGCGCCCGCCAGCAGGCAGGAGATGACCATGAGCGCCCGGGCCGCCTGCAGGTCCTGGGGCAGCGCCAGCAGCGAGCGGTAGATCTGGCACTGGTAGATGCCCGTGCTGTGCCACACGCACTCCATCCACAGCCCCTTCAGGTAGGACACGGCCGTCAGGATGTTGGTGCCCACGTGGGCGGTCCGGCGCCAGTGCGGCAGGATGGTGGTGATCAGCGTGCCCACCATGCCCAGGAAGCTGAGCAGGAAGCCCAGCAGCTGCACGGCCATGCTGGCCATGGCCCCGCCCGGCAGGGGCCGCGCTGGCTCAGGTGCCCGCGGGGGTCCTGGGGGCGGAGGGAGGGCGGGAGAGAGAGGAAACGGTTAGATGACGTCTCGGTGCACGTGTGTCCGCCACGGAAACTGCGTCCCACAGGCGGCTGGCATGACAACGAATACATTTTACTTATTTACTCACCAGAGGCCCGGTCCCTTCAGCCCAGCCTGCACCCTCTCCAATCCGGGACCCCTTGGGGGATGTCCAACGGCCGGTTTAGGCCCCATCCCAGGCATCAGGCCTAACCGGCAGTTAGATAACCCCTCACAATCCAGGACCACTGGCTCCTAACCACTCGCCTGCCTGCCTGATCGCCCCTAACTGCCCTCCCTGCCATAATTATCTGGCCACTCAGTGCATTTGTACCTCAAATGGGCACCAAAAGTATTCTAGACTTTTGCTGGAGACCAACCATCTTCCTCTCTAAGATCAATACAAATCTATTTGCCATGAGCTTCCTATCAGCCAGTGCAGAGGGAGAAACTGATCAGGTGCACGATTTGTAGTGTCTTTGATATCACGTAAATGAGGTGCTCAAGAGAAGTACACGGAGTGGCTAGATGGTTATGCATTCAGAGACCATAATAATCTGGCCGCTCAGGTTGGCAGTTGGCTCGCTCGTGTGGCTCAGGACCCATGAGGAACAGCTTGCCCAGATCTCACACACACGACCAGGCCCGGTTAGAAGTCGGCCCTCTGTTGCGGACGAGCAAAGGGAAATCCGTGTTTCACAGAAGGCCCAGGCTGGGGAGAAGCCAGGCTGATGCACGGAGGCGCGGGTGTGGGTACAGGCGCGGAGGCCACTGTGCTTCAGCGGGATGGAGCGGCTCCTGGCCCGGGGGAGCCGCAGGCTCGGTCACCGCAGCCGTGAAAGCCCTCACCGTTCCGGGGACACAGCCCGCGTGCCCGGGCCCAGGCCTCGTCAGGCCCATGGACAAGGCGGTCGGTCGACATGTACAGACGGACGTTGGTGCCGGCACCCGCTCTTCCCGCCGATGCCGTGCCCGCCCGCGGGGCTGCATCTCAGTTTTCAGGGCCCAGGAGGCTGGGAGCACGCCTCACAGAGAAAGATTAGGAAAGTAACAAACTAACTAACACACTGCCCAACTGGCGTGGCTCAGGGGTTGAGCATCCACTTATGACCCAGGAGGTCACGGTTCGATTCCCGGTCAGGGCACAGGCCCGGGTTGTGGGCTTGACCCCCAGTGTGGGGCGTGCAGGAGGCAGCCGCGGGGAGAGGCGAGGTGCGAGGTGTGGACGGGGAGCCCGTGGGGACGCCCGCAGCCGGGCCCACGCACGGACTCTCACCCCAGGCCCAGGCCCGAGGTGGACCGGTCCCCTGAGCCGCTCTGGCCCCAGGCCGGGGGACGGGGAGCTGGGCGGGGGGAGGCAAAGCCGGGCCGGGGGACGGGGAGCCAGGCCGGGGGCCGGGGAGCCGGGCTGGGGGAGGCAGAGCCGGGACGGGGGACGGGGAGCCAGGCCGGGGCACAGGGAGCTGGGCCGGGGAGCAGGGAGCCGGGCTGGGGGAGGCAGAGCTGGGCCGGGGGACGGGGAGGCAGAGCTGGGCCGGGGGACGGGGAGCCAGGCCGGGGCACAGGGAGCTGGGCCGGGGGACGGGGAGCCGGGCCGGGGGACGGGGAGCCGGGCCGGGGCACAGGGAGCTGGGCCGGGGGACGGGGAGCCGGGCCGGGGGACGGGGAGCCGGGCTGGGGGCCGGGGAGCTGGGCCGGGGGCCGGGGAGCCGGGCCGGGGGACGGGCAGGGCCTGTGGGAGTCGGCCACCGTCATCGGAGCTGGTGGCGGTGCTCAGGGTCCGGGTGTCGGTGGAGCCTGGCGGGCGGGGCTGAGAGTAGGAACCTGGGCGGGGACCTTTGCAGGTTTCCTTCCTGAGGGTGCCCTCCCCGTTCCTGCCGTGTTCACATGGACCCAGCCTCCTGCCCCCACCCACAGGGCCCCCTCCGATGGAGGATCCACAGCCGCTGCAGGCTGTTCTCTCTCCTGCCGGCGGCCGGGGCCTCGGTCCGGGGACCCACAGTCTCTGTTGGGAGGACAGCGCAGGCTCCGCCATCCGGGCCCTGGCAGGGGCCGTTTTGGTAGAAAGAGGGACTTTGGTGAGAATATTTTAGGACACTGCTCCTCAGCTGTGAGAGCACGGATAGAAGAAGCGTCCTGTTATCCGTTAAATCCAAGGAACCCCACAGGGGCCACGCTATTGTTCAGACACCCCAGGCCCCGCCTCGCACCCGCGTTGTGGAGGCTGCACGGCAGGCAGGAAGGGGCTAGTGGTCTGTGCTGCCTGCAGGTGCTGGACCATCTCCGGCCTTTTCCCAGCGAGCTACAAGCAGGAGGGAGGCCAGGCTGGCATGGCTCAGTGGTTGAGCATCGATCTAGGAACCAGGAGGTCAGGGTTCGATTCCCGGTCAGGGCACAGGCCCGGCCTGTGGGCTCCATCCCCAGTGGGGAGATAGTGCAGGAGGCAGCTGATCCATGACTCTCGTTATTGATGTTTCTATCTCTCTCTCCCTCTCCCTTCCTCTATGAAATCAGTAAAAACATATTTTAAAAAATAAAGGCAGTGAGAAGGACCCACCAAGAGGCACTGCTGTTGCGTTGGCCGCTCATTGCGTGTTCCCCACCTACAAACGCCAACGCGTGTCTGCAAGGTTGTCGCCCACGTGTGCCTGCCGGGAGCCAGAGGCGTGTGGCACTCGGGAGCGTGTACGGGGTCACCAGGCTCCCACGGCAGGGCCAGAGCCGCGGGGTCCTTTCCTCCCCGAGCTGTGGCCGGAGACACTACCCGGATCCCCGCTGGGTCTGACGAGGCTCCGTCCCAGCATCGCACCGGCCGGAAGGCCAGAGCCACGCTGCCGCCCGGCAGGACGCTCAGGGCCGGCCCAGGAGCAGGTCCCGCTCAGCCGAGGAGAGAGTTCCCGGAGGCGGAACCTCGGACTGACCCCTGAGTGACACGGACGTTCCCCCGCGAGTGCTGGCGTGCTAAGGCATGTTGCTGCGGGGCCTTCTACATCCTGCAGCTGCTGCTTTCCACCCGCAGCGCCCTGGCCTCGCCGGGGGCTCCCTGCCCGCATTGTCACATGTGATAATCGAATGGGGCGATGGTTCTTAACAGGCCCCATTCACATGGTTCACAGTCACCAGCTGTGAGGGCGTGAGGTCAAGGCAAGCTGTGCATTGTTGGATGACACATCAAGAGATGGTGCTTTTATTTATTTTTAATTTTTATTTTTTTAATATATTTTATTGATTTTTTACAGAGAGGAAGGGAGAGGAGAGGGAGAGAGAGTCAGAAACATCGATGAGAGAGAAATATCCATCAGCCATCTCCTGCACACCCCCTACTGGGGATGTGCCCACAACCAAGGTACATGCCCCTGACCGGAATCGAACCTGGGACCATTGAGTCCGCAGGCCGATGCTCTGTCCACTGAGCCAAACCAGTTAGGGCGGTGATGGGGTTTTTAGGGAAAATTATTTTCTTGCATAGTTATGACCGTTATGAGAAGTAACAGTTATTTACTATAAAACAAAATCCCGCACATCTCTCAACTTCTAAAACGTCTATATAATAGTTTAAAAAAAATACATTTTCATTGATTTCAGAGAGGAAGGGGGAGGGAGAGAGAGAGAAACATCAATGATGAGAGAGAATCATTGATTGGCTGCCTCTTGCAAGCCCCACACAGGATGGAGCCCACAACCCGGGACCGTGCCCTTGACCAGAATCAAACCCGGGGCCCTTCAGTCCTCAGACCGACGCTCTATCCACTGAGCAACACCGGCTGGGGCAAATCTATATAACCTTGAAAGCATCTGACTTGAGTGAAGGACAAAGCTCTCGGCTGAGCTGCGCGGTGGACTGTAAGAGCCGGGGAGGTTCTGACGATTCCTAACGTGGGGCCCAGGGCGGACCCACCGGAGGGGGCGGGCGGAGAGGGGACACTCTGCAGGGGATGCCCCCAGGCCCCCGGGCTGAGGACCGCTGAGCCTCGGCAGTAACGGGTTTTAAGCCCCTGGGCTCGGTCTGACGGAGGCCCATGCGTTAATGCAGCCTCAAGGAGAACAGTCTGCCTCACAGGCACGGTCATTACGTCTTGAGTCCAATGCAACCACACGCAACAAATGCAATGCATGCGGTGAGTCAGTGCGTACGAAGCAGGTGACCGATCAACAATGAATCCCTACACCATTCCACATCAAAGGTCGTATTCTGACGAAACGAAGACGTCAGCGATGGCAAGACAAAGTATCGCTGGGAAATAAAAACATGACGCGCCACATATCACAAGCCACATCCCCACTTAAAAACCGTGCCACGCAGGAAAATAACCCGAGTCTTAGAGTTGATGAAATTCAGCACCTGAAACCGTCTGCTTTATAAATTTCCATCTAGTCCACGCCAGCCGTTCCGTCACCGACGGCCACCAGGTGCCGCTGTGACCCGACGCTTCAGGCTCCGGGGCAGCCAGTTTCCCCACGGGCTTAGCAGTGCGGAGTCGCCCCCTTTTACAGACAAAAGACTTACCCCCTACCCCCCACTACGTTCCCAGGAGCTGTGGCTCATTGTTTTCCTGGTATGAGGCCGTCCGCCAGGTGTGACGTTGTTTAAAGGGAACTGAGAGGCGGCGGATGCATAGAAGCACTCACCTCCTGGCAGCCACAGCCCAGATCTCACACCCGGCTCGTCCGTCCGCAGCGGGTCAGGGGGCAGGACGGGAACGAGAGGCTGATGCTCCACTTAGATCACAAGCAACGGGAAACCGAGGGAGAGACACCGTGTCCTCCAGGCGGAAGACAGCGTCAGGGCTCCGGACCCGGATCCTGCCCAGGCCCAGCGCTGGCGGGAAGGGCCCGGGCAGGGCCCGGGGCTGCAGCCCACGCTCAGGCCCAGCGCTGGCCCTGGCCCGGGGCCTCGGTCTGGAGACCTGACCACGCTCCCGGCGAAGTGC